GGCCGGCGGGGGGGGGCTGTCAGTGGGGGCTGGAGCACAACCGTCCACACGTGGGGCGCAGCCGGGACCGAGGGGCCGGCGCAGAATGGGCGGGGACAGAGTTAGGGGGCGACTGGGTGGGGAGGAACAAGGGGAGCTAGGCCTGGGGGAGGGGAAGAGGAAGGAAGGGGGTAGGGTGAAGGGAGAAGAGAGGACTGAGATTGGGGAAAAGGGGGGCGAGCCGGAGAGGAAGGCCAGGACTGGAAGAGGGGCTTGGAAAGAGAGATTGGAGAGCCCGGGTGCGAGAGGAAATGAGCGGGGGATGGGGACTAGGTTAGGGCGAGTAGAGAAGTGGGAAAGGGGAGGGAGGGCCGGGGGAAAAAAAAAAGGAGGGGGCCGGGGGGCCGGCTGGAGGGGGCGAGGCTCTAGTCGGCTTTGCTTCCCGTCCCCCCTCAATTGGCCGCTAGCTCTGTTTTGACTGCCTGTACAAAGCGAGCAGACGACGGGGGAGGGGGCGGTTAGGGACCGGATTTGGGAAAGGAGGCAGCAGCCCCTTCCCCTCCCCCTCCGCCCTCGCCGGGCCGCGTACCAAGGACGAGGGTCTCTAAACGTGCCTGGCTCGCTGGATCCTCAGCTGAACTAACCCACAGGGCAGAGGCCACAAGTTTGATGAGAGCGGGTCCTGCCGCAGGGACCCGGATCCACACCCGGGGTTCGGGGATTCGCAGCCAAGCAGGAATAGAGATTTGCGCGGGAGCTGGCTGCAATCTCAATCCGAGGAGGCCAGGCCCTCCCCAACGCCCTCCTACCCCCACTTCCCCACCCGGAGCGGCGTCAGTTTGCGGGACTCCAAGATGGGCTGGGCGTATCCAGATTGAAATGTGCCCTGCGCTTCCAAGAGGGAGCACACGCGGCCGCGGGGGGCCTCGGCAAAGAGCCGGCGTCGCAGTCGCGAGGAGTCCACGCAGGAGGTGACCCCTGGCAGGGTTCTGCCGGAGTTTGCAGCCTGAAAGTGTGTGTATGTAGTGGGGGCCGGGGTGGAGGGAACGCAGGCCGGTAAATGGGTCTTGGGGCATATCTTTGGTTCCTGGCATAGACTCCTGATTATTAAACCTTAGCAATTAGTGTATTCAGGCTGGCAACTTGCCCTCTGAACTCTTAGAGCTGACTCTGTGCTCGCCCGCCTTTGGGGTCTCTTCCTTTATGGCCCAGCTTTCATGAGGTCTCCGCAAAGCCCTAGTCATCTGTCAGTCCATGGCATTTCGTAATTAAAAATCAACACCCTTGAAAACTAGGACTGACCATCCAAGCACAGGTCAGGAAACTTTTCCTGGCCCAAATTTCCCAGATGTGCTATTTGGCAGACAAAGTTCTCTGAGAATTGGCATAACTCTCTCCCCTATTTTGCCAATGTAGTCGGACAAAGAGTCTTAAGATAGTAGCCCTTCTTACAATATTCTCATAAGGCATAAAAAAAAAAAAAAGTAGTAGTCACATAATTTCATGTTCAAATCCAAACAAATTAAAGTCGGCAATAGGAGTATTTATCGTGCACTGTCCTTCAAACAAATAAAATTATTTTAACTTAAAGACCTAAATAAAGTAACTATTCCCTAGGTTAAAGCATTGTTTTAATTATGCTCTTTAAAATATTTAACCCTGTTAAGTGGTTTTTCATTTAACACTTAAATGGCTTCATGATACATTCTTGTCTATCACATCAAATCCAAATGCTCTAAAATTGTATGTGTAATTATCCTCTGACTTAGCAATTCCACTTTCAGAAAGCTATTTAAAAGATATACAGGCAAAAAATGAGATGATGAATGTGTTAGTCTGTTCACTGCAGCACTGTTAGTAATAGCAAAAGATTAGCATCATAAATTTCCCATCAATAAGAAACTGGATGAATATACATACTTTAATCCAGTCAATGAAATGCTATATGGCTGTGAAAAATGAATGAGGCTCTCAGTATACTCCTAAGGAGTGATCTCTAGAATATACACTTCGATGGGGAAAAAGCAAGATGCAGATAGAAGAGGCAAATCCACTGAGACAGAAGAATAAAAGTTACCAAGGTCCAGGGGCAGGGGGAGAATGGAATGAAGAATTATTGTTTAATGGATACAGAGTATCCGTTTAAGATAATGAAAAAGTTCTGGAAATTAATTGTGATAATGGTTGTACAACATCATGAATGTACTTGATGCCAGTGCATTGTATACTTAAATATGGTTAAAATGGTAATTTTTATGTTATGCATGTTTTACCACAATAAAAATTTTTTCATACAAGGTGTCAGATGTTGTAATTATATGCTACCTTTGGGGGCATGTGTGTGTGTGTGCATGTTTTAAAATTTGAAATATAAAACATGTAATAATGGTTATCTTAGGGAAGGGAGAGTTTGAGGAAGAGACAATGATTGAAGCTATACCTTCCTAAAAATGCCTTGTTTTATTGTTCTAATTTTGGAACCATGTTTATATTCCATATAATTAAAAACAAAATTAATTTTTAAAAACAGCAATACCTAAAATTGAAAACAAACTAAAACAAATGAACCTATTTATCACATGTGGCATAAACAGAATAATTAAAGTGATATTTAAACAATATTTTGACTGTACATCTTTAGTAGGATATAATCGAAGAACGAAATGAACCACAAAGAAGTCTGAAATTGAATTCAATGATGGAAATGTAAGAGAGAGGGGAGGAGAGAGAAAGTGAAAAGGAGAGAGGGAAGAAAAGAGGGAGGGAGAGAAAGAGATATAGATATTAGAAATCATAATTTCAGCATAAGAAAAAAGATTAAATATAAAATAAAAAAATAAAAATATTGTAAGCTTAAACTGAATTAAAAATGCCTGTATGGAATTGGAACTTAACGTTATCTTTCAAAAAAAATTACGCATTTTCTGGTCCTACACATTGAAAAGACCTAGAAGTAGTGACAATCCAACAATAATAAACACCCATTGTGCCCAGATTGTGGTCCCTAAATACCATCTCCTAGTAAAAAGATGAGGACTCTGGGTAAGTGGCTGATTTTAGGACTGGAATAAGAAATATGTAAAGTCAGGACTATCTATCTTGTTCTACTTGAAAGCAATGAAATGATCAACTATTAGGGTCATGTCAAAAGAAACCAGAGCTAACTTGAAAAGGATCCCACTGACCAAAGATGGGAAAACCTGAGTGTACACACACACACACACACACACACACACACACACACACACACACATATATTTGAAATGTGTAAATATCAAGAGTTTCAAATGATACTCCAAATAAAAATTAATTGGTCACTTTTGGAGGTAGCTAAAGTACAGCTTATTATTCTAGACACACTGATAAATAAAATAATCAAACACCCTGCCTTTGCTGGACAGACTCAGAGAAAGTATTCCTTTAAAAAAAAAAAAAAAGACAGTTCTAAACACAAAAACTATAGAATTAGAAAAATCACGACTTTGCAAAGTCTAATGAAATCATGGATCTAGGCAACAGTTATCAATGAATGCTTAAACCATTAAGTCAAGGATTCTGAACTGGGCCATTTTTTTTCTTGGGAGACATCTGAATATATCTGGTATTGTCACAACAGGATGTTGTGTGGGGGACAAGAGAATTGAGGGTAGCAGAGATACTGCTAAATATCCTACAATGCACAGGACTATCCCCTATTAAAAAAAAAAAGTATTATCTGGTCCAAAATATCAATGCATTTGAGAAATCCCACATCAGGTGAATAGTTAATGGGCAACTCTTTAACGAATGATCTAAGCTGTTACCACCACAACCTACTGATTGTTAACTTTGAAAAGCAGGACAACCAGACCTTATGTGTCTACTTAAGTGGTATGATAAGAGGCACACAGAACCACCTATGAAATATCTGTAAAAAAAAAAAAAAAACTTGAATGTAATCATATATTTACATTTAACTACCAGTTTCTAGGAGCTATAGAGGATAGTGAAATATTAAATGATAGATCAGGAATACAGTCAACCAGCTCTTGAACATGGGAAATACTACAGGACCATTTTTTTTTTTTTTTTTTATTTTTTTTTTTTAGTAAATGACATGGATAGAGAAAAGGAAGGGGAATTGTTTTGGCCCAACAACCAAATGCAATGTTTGTAACTTATCTTGAATTTTGATTTGAACACAGGTGTAAACAACATTTTTTGAGGCAATCTGTGGAGGGTATGAGAGATTCAAAGCAGATTATTAGATATTGAAGATGGATTTTCAATTTGGGGAGGTGTAACAATAGTATCATAGTTATACT